GTTGGTAGAGGCCCTGTGTGCAGAACACCAGATCAGCCTCATTAAAGCTGACGACAACAAGAAACTTGGGGAATGGGTAGGCCTCTGTAAAACTGCCTGAGAGGAGACACCCGGTAAAGTGGTTGGCTGCCGTTGTGTAGTTATTAAGGATATGGCCAAGAATCTCAAGCCAAAGATGTCATTGAAGAATACTTCAAATGCAAGAAATGAATAAATAAACGTTTGGCTCATAAAGAAAAAAGTTAAAGGTTCCTATTACACTACCATATTAGTACATAGCCAGTCTCTCAGCAAGAAAAAATCACGCGTGAAGTGTATTATTATACTCAGTTGAAACTGCTTAAAAGAATAACAGGGAAGAAATCAAATAGCACACAAAATATTAGTTTTCAAGCCAATAACATTTCTTCTTAGTAAGTTTCATAATACAAAATACTAGACTTGGGAGTTCATTAAAGTAATACCAGGGAATAAAAGCCACTATCTGAACCTATCCCAGAATAATCTAGGTCATGTGGAAAAAGAGACACTTTAAAAGAAAAGCACATTTAACTTATATCAAAGACCAGTAAAATGATTTCTTTTAAAAAATGATAAGGAATCCACCAAAAAATAATTAAAAGTGGTAAAATGGGTAATGAGAAACTATAATTTTCCTGCATTTCAATTTATTAAGGGGAAAAAAATCTGGAGCCGACACTGTGGCATAGTTGGTTAAGTTTGTGACACCACAGTCCCACATGGACATAAGTTTTTGACCCAACTGCTCCACTTCCAATCCAGATCCCTGCTTTTAGCCTGGGAAAGCAATGGAGCATGGCTCAACTCCTTGGGAAGCCAGGAACCAGGATCCTCTCCTGGGTCTCCCAAATGGGTGCAGGGTCCCAAGGCTTTGGTCTGTCTTCAACTGCTTTCCCAGGCCACAAGCAGGAAGCTGTATGGGAAGCAGAGCCACCGGGATTAGAACTGACGCCCATATGGGATCCTGGCATGTGCAAAGCGAGGACTTTTAGCTGTGTGGTTACCACATCAGGCCTGGAAAGGCAGATTTATAGAAAGAAGGTAAGCCAGGGCCTGGCGCGGTGGCACAGTGGTTAAGGTCCTCGCCTTGAATGCCCGGGATCCCATATGGGCGCCGGTTCTATCCCGGCAGCCCCGCTTCCCTTCCTGCTCCCTGCCTGTGGCCCAGGAAAGCAGTCGAGGACGGCCCAAAGCTTTGGGACCCTGCACCCGCGTGGGAGACCCAGAAGAGTCTCCTGGCTTCGGATTGGCATAGCATCGGCCGTTGCGCTCACTTAGGGAGTGAATCATCGGACGGAAGATCTTCCTGTCTCTCCTCCTCTCTGTATATCTGCCTTTCCAATAAAAATAAATCTTAAAAAATAAAATAAAATAAAATAAAATGAAATAAAAAAGAAGGCAAGACAAAGATCTTCTATTTGGGCCCAGCACGATAGCATAGTGGTTAAAGTCCTCACCTTGCACGTGCTGGGATCCCATATGGGCGCCGGTTCTAATCCCAGTGGCCCCACTTCCCATCCAGCTCCCTGCTTGTGGCCTGGGAAAGCAGTCGAGGATGGCTCAAAGCTTTGGGACCCTGCACCCACGTGGGATACCCGGAAGAAAGTTCCTGGCTCCTGGCTTCGGGTTGGCTCAGCTACAGCCATTGCGCTCACTTGGGGAGTGAACCATCAGACGGAAGATCTTCCTCTCTGTCTCTCCTCCTCTAAATATATCTGCCTTTCCTATTTATTTTTTAAATAAATAAATCTTAAAAAAGAAAAAAGACCTATTTGTTCACTCCCCATATGATCACAATAGCTAAAGCTGAGCTGATCCAGAGCCAAGAGCCAAGCGCTTCTTCCAGGTCTCCCATGTGGGTGTGGGGTCCAAATGCTTAAATGCTTTGGTCCATCCTTCATTGCTTTCTCAGGCCATAAACAGGGAGCTAAATGGGAAGTGGAGCAACCAGGACTTGAACCAGCATTCAAATGGGTTCCTTCTACCTGAACACAGAGGATTAGCCATTGGGGCATCACACCAGCCCCAAGACTCATGCATGTGACAATAAGCTTTTACTCTAAGTTACTGAATTTCCTCTTCTCTTGATAATGTGGTAAAAAGTTAGCATTAGACTCAGAGGCATCATTTTTTTTTAAGTGCCACATAGAAAGTATTTTAGGTTTTTCATATCAGATATCGTCTCTACCACACATTCATTGTTCTAATTGCCACAGTTTTTAAATATCCTTTAGAAAAGCGAAGCCCATTCTTAGCATACTCGTTGTCAAACCAGCTACAGATAGTTTACCTCTGGCCATAGTTACCCAGTTCCAACTTTACACCATGCCTATGCCTACATACCACCTTATTGCAACTGGTATCAACTACTAATAGTTTCTTCTTTCCTTTATGGAAAAGTCAGCTTCTCAATGAGGCCTTCTCAGTATATACAGTGGACAGTGGATCCTCAGGAGTTTTGACAGAGCCCTCCCCTCCACCTCAAGACTGTCAGGCCTGTCAGTGGGCTCTAACAGCAACACTGCCCTCACACTGATCAAACAGATGCTGTGCTTAAGACAGATGCTCTCCGAGAAGCAACTCAAGCCAAAGATGTTCAAGGATAATACTTACAAATTCTTTGGAAATTCAAGTAGTCACAACATTTTGAAAGAGGAAAATTGCTTCAAGTTGTTCAGTTTTCTTACTATCCCACAGGGGTTAGTTCTCAGTCTGTTAAAAGTCTACTATTACTTTAGCTATTCTTGTAACAAATTTCTATTATAATTCTTAGACCCTCTAGAGATCTGTTCTGTCTTTGATCTCTCTTAATACTAATATGTTCTTTGCCAGTTCAACCAGTCTGGCAACTTTATAAAGTCTAGCAAGCCAGGGAGAAGTTAACTGCCTCCCCTTTTCCCAATATTGCTATTTTTAAAACTGCCTATTATTGAAATCTTTCCTATAGTTTCTATTTAAGCAAAAAAAAATTGGATGCTGTTGTTATCCTCGAAATACATTATATTCAAAATTCACCTGTAAGATGACACAGATTCACTTTACTATAGTTCTTGTATTCAGTAAGGTATGAAGGAAACAGGTTATTTAGCAGCCTCTGTCACCATCCTGGTAAAAATCCATTAATGAAGAAATGTAGTTTCTACTATTGTCACTGACAAAAGTGTTATCTTCATAAATCACAGTAATAAATAAAAATATGGGGGCTTTAGGCCCGGTGTGGAAGTGTAATGGTTAAGGTCCTCACCTTGAATGCACCGCGATCTCATATGGGCGCCGGTTCCAATCCCAGCAGCTCCTCTTCCCATCCAGCTCCCTGCAGGGACCTTGTACCTGCATGGGAGACCCGGAAGGAAGTTCCTGGCTCCTGGCTTCGGATCGGCACAGCACCGGCTGTTGAGGCCACTTGGGGAATGAATCATCGGACAGATCTTCCTCTCTGTCTCTCCTCCTCTTTGTATATCTGCCTTTCCAATAAAATAATTAAATAAATCTTTTTTTTAAATATGGGGGCTTAAATCATACTAGGTGTCACACATTCTAAAACTCAGCTGCAAAATTTGCTGGGCCCAGCATGGCAGCCTAGTGACTAGAATCCTCACTTTGCACACACATGGGCACTGGTTCTAATACCGGCCAACCTGCTCATCCATCTTCCTGCTTGTGACCTGGGAAGCAGTTGAAGACTGCTTGGGATCCTGCACTCATGTGGGAGACCCGGATGAAGCTCCTGGCTTCAGTTCGGCTCAGCTCCAGCATTTGTAGCCACTTGGAGAGTGAGTCAGCAGACAGATTTTTTCCTCTCTTTCTCTCCTCCTCTCAGTATATCTGATTTTTCAATGACAATAAATCTTTTTTAAAAATTGCTAACAGTAAATGCTTACAAAAAAAGTGTCTCGGGGGCCATTGTGGTATAGTGAATTAAGTCACTTGCAACACCAACATCCCATTTCAGAATGCCAGTTGGGAGTCCCTACTGAATCACTTGCTCCGTTTCTGACCCATCTTCCTGCTAATGTGTCCGAGAAGACAGTGGGAGATAGCTCACATGCTTGGGCCCCAGACATCCAGAGGCAAACCCAGATGAATTTCCCAGCTCCTGGCTTTGGCAGTTGCAGCCATCTAGGGAATGAGCCATCACATGGAAGGTCTCTTGGTCATGTTGCCTTTAAAATAAATCTCTATAAAATGTCCTTAAAAGCCATTTTATCCAACAAATTCTGCTTCATTTGATTTTTACGTTCCATTATGCTGCAATTCTGCCATTTTTTTCCCCCAAGATTTATTTTATTTTTATTAGAAAGGCAGATTTACAGAGGAGACAATCTTCCATCCGCTGTTCAGTCCCCAAGTGGCCGCAATGGACAGAACTGAAACAACCTGAAACCAGGGGCCTCTCCAGGTCTCCCACGGCGGGTGCAGGGTCCCAAGGCTTTGGGCCGTCCTCCACTGCTTTCCTAGGCCACAGCAAGGAGCTGGTTGGGAAGTAGAGTATCTGGGAACATGGACCAGGGCCAGATGAGATCCCAGTGCTTGCAAGACAATGATTTAGTCACTGAGCCATTGTACCAGGCCCAATTCTGCCTTTCTTACCAGACAAGCAACTCTGGTCTCTAAATGAAACTTTATAACCCAAAAGTCTCTTTTTAAAGGTTAAGACAATTCCACAAACCAATTCTTTACAGATAAAATCTTGTCCTAAGCATGTTAAAGTTGTAAACGGGAAAACAAAGATGTTGTAGGACTCTGCTTTTTATTTAAAAAGTTATTTTCAACTGTTTGTCCTAAAATATCATAAAACCAAATTGTTTTATAGACTCAAGAGTAGGCAAACTTCCTTAAACCAAATCTATTTTTTGTTGTTGTTCTTATAAATGGGGCTGCCTAAATTTAGTCACTTTTTACTATATTCTGCAGAAAAACATGGCCCAACACACATGTCCCACTTGTCTAGTTGAAATGAGTAACATAACGTGAGAAACTGCGCATGTAATTCCTTTATTTTCTGCATATTAGTGCTTAACCAACACTACAACCATAAAGAACACAATTCCAAATACTGTACTTTTTAGTTTGGGGAAATCACAGACTCATTATTTATATTAGACAAGATTAACCTCATTCAGAACTTACTGCTTATAAATTCACATAAATACAGAAATTGATGCAATTAAACAAAAATGTCAGGATTTTCTTTTTTAACTTCTTAGATTATTAACTTTTTCTGCAGGCTATAATTACCTGTTCCATAATCACCAATAGTTAGGGTTCAATTTAACTACACCAATTATAAACCTTTTATATTCTTAAAGAAAATGTAGGTGAAATGTACAATTTCTTACCAAAAGGTTTAGTCTTCCAGATTTCAGTATTTGCTTCCCCCCTCCCTCCCATCCATTTAGACATTTCAAATAAACTAAAAATAACATCTCACCTGCAACATTCAATAGCAATCACTTGATGTATAAAATTTTAACTATGCCCCCAGTTATTTTAAGACACACAAAAAATGGCTGCCTACCAAATCTGTCAAAAGTTAGAAATACTACATTTAAGAATTAACATGAGGGTTTCAAGTTTCCTCCAGTTTAGGCATTTATACCTTTGTGCTTGTTTGGTTTCTGGATGTTACTATAACATTTTTATCTGTATAACCCATGTTTATGTACCTTAAGTGTAATCATTTAAAACACTAAGAATTGTATTTATGGTGGAGCTTTGGGAATTTTAAAAAGCAACCAAAATCTTAGGAAGTGTTTCAGCTTCATTTTTAGATACTTTCACTAAAGTGAAACTGACAACCTTATACTTTAGTTGCATCTTGAACTCAAAAGTCCCTTTGCACCAGTAGGAGCCTACAACATAGCACCTTTCTCTAATCAGCGTTAAGTAAAATGCTCTGTCAAGTTTTACTTTGAATGGTTGATTTTTTAAAATAGCCTTACACTTGTCACATTATCTTTGGTAAAAGCTCCATTATACAATATGGCCAAAGCATGAAGGACCAATACTGTCCAACTATACCATGATATCCCGCTCAATTTTGATTTCAAACACCCTCATAAACAAAGACCAGTCCACCTTTTCCTGTATACTGCCTTTGCAGTCTACATTTCTAAAATTCCCTAAGTTTAATTCCTTGAGGATCGCTAAAATTAATCCTTAAGGCTATGTAAGAACCAGATGGTGCTTCACAATTCCATATCAAGCATTTACATTTGGCTCAACATACTACTATAATAGTGGTCTCAATATAGCTACTGGTCCTAACCTGCTAACCAATTAATTTTGTTAGGATCTGGAAATCACCAGTGAGCACACTGCTTACCCTTGAAGAAAAATAACTTTACATTCATAGTCATCTGTAGGTTCTCTCTTCAGCCCACTTCCCCTTTGTCATCCCTTTAGTCTACACATCCAACATTCATTCATCCCATTGCCTTAAAGGAGACAGTGTACTACTGAACCAACAGGTTATCTGACTTACTATTTGCATGAGTTAATCCCACAAAGAAAATTAAATATCTTTTTTATAAAATATCTTTTCCAGTGTTCTAATTAATGGAGATGTGGATCACTCATCTATTAAAAAAATGACATTTTCAGCTTAATTAGTTGCAATAATGTAAAACCAAAAATGCGTATTTTTCCAACTAGGTAAAAGGTGCACATAATTTGAATCATTAAATGCTTTATTAATGAACAAACCAATGTTTCAGTAACTTTAATACTACTGGTCTTAGACACTTGAAATAAGGTAAAAGTATTCCAGTTTTGCCCAAAAGTATCTTAAAATATCTACAAATATCTGTGTGTGGCACACACCATTATTGCTCCATTTTCTGGAAAAAAGACTGGTTTTGATGTTAAAAAAAAAAGGAAAACTTTGCAGTGCAAAAACCCCATGTACTTGGAGGTTACACTTTCATAATTTTATGCAGCGTAAATTCGCTATGTTATGAGGAACCTGGTTTTTATTCCTACTCATGCATGATGTATGTTTTAGGAGTTAACAGCTGATATTTCAAAGAGGTTGTTACATTACCTGTTTAACATAGTGATGTGCAACTGGAACATATTACAATGATATTACTCATAATTTGCCACTGTGGGCTAAGTTTACGTATACTGGTCTTAGGTCACATTTGAAATTACTAAGTTAGAATTCATAAGGCGGGGGGTGGGGGGTCTTAAATATAAAAGACAAACGGCAGTTTGATTAAGCAATAATTTTCAGTTTACTAGATGAAACAGACTTGCAACATAGTCTGCATGAATGCAAAATAAGCCATCTACAGCAAGTGATAAGGAAACTGGGCAAAAAGGAAAAAAAGCATACATTTTGGGGGGGAAAAAGATTCTCTAGAAATTAAAAAAAAATCAAACCATTATTATAAAGGATTTTACCAAGAACTGCTGTATTTCCCCCACCCCATTTGCTGGAAGTCAACAAGAGCATCTAGCACTTTGTGAGCATGTCAAACGTCAGATCAGAGCATCCTAACGCAAAGCAGAAAAAAGGGGAAAAAAAAAACCCAACCCCCCCTCCCTAAACCATAGAACAGTAACTCGAGTTCAAATTCAAAAGAAGAGAAAAGTGGCGATTGAAAGAGGTGATGGTGGCGATAATCCTATGAATGGGTTTTTGATTTCTCTCCTTCCGGGGGAATAGGGTGGAGAACGCTCCTTAGGATTTGTAGTTAGAGGTTAACCATGTGAGCCCCTCGTAGAGTCCGTCCCCCGAGGTGGCACACGAGGGCTGCACATACCAGTTCCTGTCCCGGATCCGGGTCAGGCCCAGTTTCTCCTGGATCTCGTGGGGTTTCATGGCATCGGGCAGGTCCTGCTTGTTGGCGAAGATGAGGATGATGGCGTCCCTCATCTCCCGGTCATTGATAATGCGATGCAGCTCCTGGCGGGCCTCGTCGATGCGGTCGCGGTCGGCGCAGTCCACCACGAAGATCAGACCCTGGGTCCCCGTGTAGTAATGCCGCCACAGCGGCCGGATCTTGTCCTGGCCTCCCACATCCCAGACGTTGAACTTGACGTTTTTGTAAGTCACCGTCTCGACGTTGAAACCCACGGTGGGAATGGTGGTCACCGACTGGCCCAGCTTCAACTTATACAGGATCGTGGTCTTGCCGGCCGCGTCCAGGCCCAACATGAGGATCCGCATTTCCTTGTTCCCGAAGATTTTGGATAGCACCTTCCCCATCGCGTCGTAAGAGCCGGGGCCGGGGGCATTCAGGTGTCCCGGGTCCCCTCAAACCAACACAGCCGCCGCCTCGGAACCGAAACGCAGCCTTCCCCGCCGCGAGGGCGCCCGTGCGGCCTGCGTGGGTGTCGCCTCCGAGGGGGGCGCCGCTCACTCGGACATCACCGACCGCACAACTTGCTTCCTCCGGCCGCCGGGGCCCTGAGCCTGCGCCGGGGAAGAGCCGCCGCCCTGCTGAGGCGCGGCCCGGCCCGGAACTGCCCTTCCCCCCCGCCAGGCGCCGCGCGAGCGCCGCCGCCGAGCCCGGTCCTCCGCGCCCGCCGACACCGGGCTCGCCACCGACCCGGGCCGCCCCGTCAGCTCATGGATCCCTCGCGGGAACTCAGCGCGCTGCCTGCGGAGACACAGAGGGGGAGAGGGGAGTTTACCGCCCGAGCCCCGGAGCAGGAGCGCAGGCCGGGGCCCCGACCCCGTCTGCCCGGCTCGGACCCGGGGGTCGCGCGGGGCAGCGGGGGAGGCCGGGGAAGGGTGGGTTACCTCCAGCCGCCGCCCCGAGCGCGGGTTCGCTCCTTCCTCCACCTCCTCCTTCCCAGCTCTGCCGCCGCCGCCGCTGCCGGAAAAGGCGCCGAAGAAACCGCCTCACTTCCCCTCCCGACTACGCAGGCGCAGCGCAGGCCGACCGTTCGGACAAGAGCGACCTCTGGAAGGAGAGCGGCCCCGCGCGCCCAGCGTCACGGGCGCCACGCGCCGGAGGGGGCGGGGCTACGGCGTCCCGGAGGGCTCGAGCGAGCCCGCGCGCCCCGAGCGATGCGCCCTGCGCGCCCACCTGTGGCTTCCCGGTCCTCCGCCTGTGCTCGCAGCGCTCTGGCGGCCCCTTCCTGCACCGCCACTTGAGCCAGGGGCGCGGATCCTCGGAGAGTTTGGGGGAAATGGGGTGTCCACTGGGTGGGGCCGGCGGACGAACGCTCCCACCGGGCCGCTTCCGGGCCGGTTTTCCGAGCTTCGCGCCGGCCCTGAGACCCGGAAAAGTTCCAGCGCGCCTGCACTTGGCGCGGGCTGGATCTCCAAGGAACCTCGATCACTTTTTTTGTTATGTTTTCTTCTTTACCTTTTCTCCGGCCTCCCCTGCGCTTCCTGAGGGCTCGCGTTCCGTGCTTGCTGGCAGACACGTGGGAGGCCCGCGTTTGGCGTAGATCCGCCAGTCAGGGGCGCGCTTCTTCCGGGCTTGGCTTGGCCGTGAAACCCTCATGTGTTTCATCAGGATCAGCCCACGTTTCTTGAGAATTAACTCTGAGGAGCATCTCCGGCCTCACCACGCGTTCAACATTTTTAGAACGCGATAAACTTCTTACTCCACTGTCAGTTCTTTTCAGTTTGATTGGTAGCGGCTCCTCACCCACCCACTGTTGGTATTATCTTAGCGTGGAGTTCAGTATCTGAAAGGCTGCTTTGATGGCTGAGACCTGGGCGCCTCACCTTGCTCCCTTATCGCCTGTGTAAACGGACCTTGCTTACCCCACCCTGCCTCAGGATTAAATAATACAATGTTTGTGGAAGGTGAAGGAAATCTTTTTGTATCCAATGGTTACTCAGACTTAAAGGTTGAAACAAGGTGAAAGCTTCAACATCTGGGGGGAGAGGGGAACCAGAAAATACATTTATTTTTAAATGAGGATGTTACAGCAACTCATAATGTTTTAATTTCACCATTTAGGGAAGATTGGACTTCAGATATTTGTGGGCTCACCACGCTGCATGGGAAAGTGTGGGGGTCCAGTCCCAGGTCCTGAGGGAACTTCCCACTGATGCTTACACTGGAACTGGTGTCCATGCCGCTCCTGTGGGAGGCCTGGATGGAGTTGCCAGCTCCTAGCCTCCACTAGACTACTGAGAGCACTGTGGTGCTGGCTTCACTGTATGTTCTTATGCAAGCAAAATGAAAATAAATTAGAAATATGTATGTTTTGAAAGGTTTTCAGCACCATGGTGTGCTTGGCTGACCCTCCGCCTGCAGCCTTGGCATCTCATTTAGGCACCAGGTCTAGTCTTGCCTACTCTAACTCAGATCCAGTTCTCTTATGGCATAGGAAAGCAGCAAATGGTGGCTCAAGTACTTGGACCCTTGGACCCACATGGGAGACCAAGAAAAAAGTCCTGGCCTCCAGCTTCGAATTTCCTCAGCTCCTGCTGTTGACACCATTTGGGGTATGAACCAGCGGGTTGATGTCTCTTCTAACTCTGCCTAGCCTTTACAGTTTAAAAATAAAATAAATGCATGACTTTAAGCAGGAAAATTCAATAATGATAGGCAGGTAAAATAACCTTGCAAATTAAGCTTGAAATAGTTATTAATATAATGGTGTTCTAATCCTGGAGGTGCAATAAAATAAAAACAAGGATTTCTAGTCAGAAGATGGGAGCAGAGTCGTTCCATATAGCTGTGAGTCCATAAGTCTCCATCTTCATGAACTTTCTTCCTCTGTAAAATGAAAGGCTATCACTAGAGAAAATGCAATGGATTGTTTTGTATTTCTTAAGCAAAACATTGTCCTAAGTACTTTAAAATATCTTGATATGAGCAGCAATCATATGAAATAGCTTTGAGGGCCTGGCGCGATAGCGTAGTGGTTAAAGTCCTTGCCTTGTACACACCGGGATCCCATATGGGTGCTGGTTCTAATCCCAACGGCCCTGCTTCCCGTCCAGTTCACTGCTTGTGGCCTGAGAAAGCAGTTGGGGACAGCCCAAAGCCTTGGGACCCTGCACCCATGTGGGAGACCCAGAAGAGCTCCTGGCTTCAGATTGGCTCAGCTTCAACCATTGTGGCCACTTGGGGAGTGAATCATCGGATAAAAGATCTTCTTCTCTGTCTCTCTTCCTCTCTGCATATCCGCCTTTCCAATAAAAGTAAATAAACCTTAAAAAAAAAAGAAATAGCTTTGAGTATTAACATTTTTAATTGTATAAATTTTAATTTTGATAATTTTTACATATTTGATTAGAGTGCAGAGGGACAAGGGCTAGAGGAAAGTGGTGAGACCATTGTTTCCACCTTTTTTTTCTTTTCTGCATCTTGGGGGGAGGGGAGAGCTAAGGGGAGAAGCCAGCCCCAGCCTCCCAACCACCCCAGGGTCCTTGATGTGGGGCATGGCTCCGAGGGTCCTGCTCAAGTGGTTTAGATAGTTCAACAATTCTGTATTGCTGCTGATCTCGCCGCTCCCAAGCACAATGAAATCTCTCCAGACTCCACTGGCTGACATAGTCCACCTTAGAGTCTCCATTTGCTCAGATTTTCACTGCCAACACCGGGCTGGGGTAGCTGACCAATTTGTTCTGGCCTCCATCCTCTGTTATGGTACCAGGTGTCCTCTGCAGGCTCCAGTGTACTGCCATATCCTCCATGTGTTCCTGGATATACTGTCCACTGCTCCATCTAAGCCACTGAGGAGGCCCACCTCTGACATACGCACTCCAAGGTCAGACCATGGAACCTGCAATTTTCTCCAGCGTAGAGTTCTGAGTGCAGCATAGAGTTCAGTTGGGAAGAATCCAGACCTGATTCTTATGTGTGCATGCCAATACAAGGTCCAGTATAGTCTGTTGTCCAATTCGTCCTTCGTGCACAATGTTAGTTGCAGTTGCTGGGTCAGTTGCCTCCAGCCCTGTTTTCTTTTTTTTCTTCTTTTTTTTTTAAGATTTATTTATTTTTATTGGAAAGGCAGATGTACAGAGAGAAGAGACAGAGGGGAAGATCTTCCGTCCAATGATTCATGCCCCAGGTGGCCACAACAGCCAGGAGCCCGGAGCCTCTTTCCGGGTCTCCCACGTGGGTGCAGGGTCCCAAGGATTTGGGCTGTCCTCCACTGCTTTCCCAGGCCACAAGCGGGGGATTGGATGGGAAGTGGAGCTGCCAGGATTAGAACTGGCGCCCATATGGGATCCTGACATGTTCAAGGTGAGGACTTTAACCACTATGCTATCATGCTGGGCCCTCCAGCCCTGTTTTCTACGCAAACTAATGGGTGTTGCAGTTCAGTCCGATCCTGCCCACGGCACACTCAATCCCTGCACAAACCAGTGGAAGTTGTAGCCTAGTCAGAGCAACCCGCAATAACCTCCACCAGGCTTGCCCCCTGGTTCCCATGCTTGGCAGTATGTGCAGCAGACTAGTCCAATCTGTCCCACATTCCATTCAGCTCTTATACATGTCAATGGCATTGACCCGACGAGCCCCACTATCCAGCCCACACACATGCTGGCGGATGCCACTCTCTGTCTAGCCATGCCTGTCCCAGGCCTGATTCTCATGCTCATCAGTGGAGTGGCAGCCCAAGAGAGAGGTGCCCACTGTTTCCCTGCTGAGCTCACTGCCACTCCTGGATCTTGCACTCCACGTGGTACTGCAGTCTGGCTCAAGAGAGGTTTCCCCCTGTACTACCTGATGCTACAGCAAAGCCCTACCAACCCTCACCCCTCTGGCTTATGGATGTACTAGTAGGTACAGTCTACATGGCTTGTCCCTGATCCAGCTTACATGCAGGCCAACAGGTGTTGTAGCCCTGCCTGGCCTGGTCTGTCTCAAATCCCAGCTCTCATGCTTACCAGTGGGAATAGTGACCCAGCAGGGGAGCTCCCTGCAGCCCATGCTACCAGGTTTGTCCACTCTTCCCTGGGTCTCACATGTGCTGGTTGAGCACTGCAGCCCAGTCTGCTATAGCCCACCTCATCTTAGCATTTGCCAGTGGGTGCTGTAACCTGGCCCAGCCTGGCCCTCTCCTAGTTCCAGCTCACGCTGGTGGGGACTAGAGCCTAGCCAGCCCAGGCAGCCCTCAGTTCCAGTCCTAATGTGGACTGGCTGGTATTGCAGCCCGACCTGGTATGATCCACGCACCATTCTGGCTCTTGAATTTGGCAGCAGATGATATAAACTGGCCCATCCTGGCTTGTCCCAGATCTGAACCAAAGCCTGTGGGTACCGTAACCTGGCCTGGTCTGGGCTGCTCCCTATCATAGTTTTTACGCTCACCTGCAGGGATTGTGTCCTGACAGAGGAGTTACCACGCTCCACCATCAGAACCTCTCCCAGTACCAGATCTTGCACACACCGATGGGTCCTTGGGCTAGCCCTATTTAGTTCACCTCCCATTCTAGCAGGAACAGTAGCCTTTCCAGACTGGCTTTCTCCTATTCCAGTTCTTACTGTTGGGTGCTACAGCCCAGCCAGACATAGCTCATGCATGGCTCACCAGGGACAGAGACCTAGCCCAGCCCATCCTACACCCATCCCGGTTCTCATGAGCTCCAGTGGGTGCTAGAGTCTAGCCCAGTCTTGCATGCCCCAGACCCAGTCACACCCGTGCCAAAGGACACTACATCTATATCCAAACCAGACTGTAGCCCCACTCTGGTCTCTGCACTCACCAATGGAACCCACAACTCAGCCAGGGCATCCCCTTAGCTCCCCAACCAGGCCTGATCCCAGCCACAGATCTCATGCATACCAGCGGTTGCTCTGACCCAACTTGGCATAGCCCCTCCCCTATTTTGGTCTTAGCCTTCAGTTGCTGCAGTCTGGCCTGGCCCAGCCGGCCCCCAGTCCTAATTTTCACTGGTAGGTGCTGCAAGCTGGCCCAGCTCAGTCTGCTCTCATCCCTGGGTCATGCGAACCAG